CAGCCCCCTTTCTTGCAGGGCACTCCAGCTCGGATCCGCTCCAAGGCCTTGAGCTCTGAAAACCAGCAGTGGCGAGACTGGGCCACACACAGGCCAGGATGTGGGGGCGGGGTGGGGACTGGGGTGGGCGGAGGAGGGAGATCTGGGGCCTTCCAGAAAGAAATGTCTTACAGAATTGCTTTCTGGTGTGTTTGGTTTTGAATATACCTACAAGTGCATAGGGAAACACCCCCAACACACAACTCAAATAGCACAAGGGTGTATAGTGTGCAGAGTGGCAGCCGCTTTACAGTTTGTCCTGCCCCTTCCTTCTCCCTCCCCTGGATGAGCGCGTATTTCTACCACTACTGCTAATAATCATGTTAGTAATAGTAATAGCAGCAAAGGTTCCTCTAGTATGTGCCGGCCAGAGTCCCACATGCTCTACGTGGATCATGGGGCGACGTGATCCTATGAGCGAGTGCCGTTATTCTCATCATCTCCATTCTGTGGGTGGGGAAACTGAGGCACGGAGCGGTGAAGCGCCTGCCACACGACAGCGACTGGCAGAGGATTCAGGCCTAGGTTGCCAGGCTCCCAGGTCTGTGCTCTGAACCCCTGCATCTCCTGCCTCTCCCGGGCCCCAGAACACTCTGCTGTCTGGGCAGATCCTGGCGGATCCGACGAGGCCTTGGAGATGCACCTTTGGGTTGTTTCCATTTGGGGCTGGTGCCAACCATGCTGTGAACACCTTGTGAGATGTCATGCCCCATGGGGTGGGGAGGAGGTGGGTGTCCATTCCGAGAAGGGCCTGGCCTGTCACAGGCATGAGCAGTCCAAGGGCCGAGGGCCACTGCCCTACCCGTCCTCTGAGCTGGAGTTGTTGCTGACGCTTCATCCAGTGCCCTGGGAGAAGAGAGGACGCCTCTTCAGCAGCCACATCCTGGGCCTGTTTCCAGGGAAACCCAGGCCCAGCCCAGCACATCGGAGGATTTTAGCTCCTTGGTCTGTGCTCGGCTTGCCCACCACTTCCCTCTGATGGGTGGACAGGACTCGAGTCTCCCCTCAGATCTTCCCACCTCCAGCTTTACCCCTCCAGTGCAGGCTCCACGGGGCAGCCAGAGCAAGCCTCATAAAATCTACATCAAGTCAGCTTTCTCCCAGCTTACTCCACCACCCTCAGGATCAAGTCCTGCCCCCTCCCCACCCCCACGCTCCATCTAGGCTAGGGCACAGACTAGTCCCCAAATTGACATGCCCACCTCACTCCCAGTCTTTGGCTCAGGCCGGTCCCTCCATCTGGAACACCCTCCCCAGCCTTCATCTCTTCATCCTTCCTGTCCGAGCTTACAGCCTTCCCCAAACCCCCAGACGGGGTTAGGCAGGGCCTCCCTGGTTCCCCTCGCCTGGGGCCCCAGTGAATCTTAGCTTGGATCACAGTGTCGTCAGATGGCTGTCTCCCCTGATAGAATGTCAGCTCCAGGAAGGTAGAGATTTTTGCCTGTTTTATTCATTTTGGTATCCCTGGAGCCTAGGGCAGAGTCTAGGGCACAGCAGGTGCATAAGAAATGTGTTGAATGCATACATGCAGGAATGAACGCATGAATGTATGAATGAATGAGTCAGTGAGGGGGGCCACTGAGAGCAGTGGGGTCCAGGCCTAGCCCAGGGGGACGTGAAGGGGAAACAAAGAAGAGTTTACAAAGTAGTACCTAGTGTGCATCAGGGCTTTGTCACCCCCACAGCCTGCGAGACTCACCATACAGATCCTTCATTCATTCTGCAAACCCATCCTGTGAGTCTCCAGGCCTTGGGCTGGGAGCTGGGGTGACAGCAGAGAACAATCCAGGCTGGACCCTGGTTTTTCGGAGCTGGTGGGGGAAGCAAACCTAACCGGAAGTGGAATGGAATGAACCAGAATTAGCACCTTGGCATGTGACCCTACTCCCAGCCAGCCGCGGACGTGAATCCTGGCACCACCACGATCGCTGTTTAAAAGGTTGTATTCTTGACATACGCGATGTCTTTCTGACCCTGTTCTGGGTGTTCAGTGACAATGAGCTCACTATGCACCAGGCCCTCAACTAAACACTTCACACAAATGGGCTCATTTAATTCTCACTGGTCCTCAGGAAGAGGGAGGGCTGTCATCATCCTCATCTTACAGGTGAGGAAACCAAGGCCCAGAGACAGTAAGTGACTTGCTCAGAGACACAAAGAGGTAGACCCAAGAAAGTAACATGAAATTATGTACAGAGTCATGGAGGCCAAATTCTGGATGAAGTTACCTCTGGAGGGAGGGTGGGGGGCGCACAGTGGTCTCTGCCATGTTTTCTTTCTCTTTTGGACGGAAGCTCAGGCACCCGTCCTCAGCTCTTTTTGCAAGTCAGAAATAATCCGTCACAGCAAGTAGCCACGTAGCCACATTACGTAGAGTGACTAACGGACACGGGGCAGGCCTTTGACCCAGCTCTGTCTGACTCGGGGCCCCTCTTGGCACCCCCTCTGCCTCTAGGCCCTCCTGGCTCTCAGTGACGCAGCTGTGGTGGCGTTTGGCAACCCGGGCTGCCCACAGTTACGACAGCCACTGCATCTGCCAGCTGGGGGCGGGGCGAGGGGAGGTGGCCGGGACTTGGGCCTGCCTCTACCTCTTCCGGTTGACCCCTCCTCCTGGCAGCCCAGCTGAGGTGCCCAGATGCCCTCCGTCCAGCGACACCTTTCCTCCCAGTGCTCTGCACCGCCTGACGCCACGACTGCTTGCAGTGACCAGAAAGGGCGAGAATCATGCCTGAGTTCAATCTCTCCCCAGAATGAGCACGCAGCTGGCACTCAGTAAGCGTTTGCTGAATGAACGGATGAAAAACTGGATAAATTATTTGCAGCCCCTCCCTCCTTTTCTTCTTTCCATCCTTCCCGTAGATGTTTATTAAGCACCTACCATTGCGCCAGGCACTATACTAGGCGCTGGGGACACACCTGTGAACAAAACAGGACCCTCGCCCTCACAGAACTGAAGTTCTAGAAAGGACGCTGGCCAATAACGCAGTCACCCCAGAAAAGGCAGTGGAAAGGGCCAGGGAAAGGCAGCGGAAAGGGCCGGGGAGAGGCTCCTGGGCTGTGCACCCCTGTGGCTGAGGGCCGGCCCGCAGGGAGGTGGGGGTGTCTCCTCCAAGACTGGGCATCTCCTGCATGCCAGCTCAAGTGGCAGAGCCCGCGCCTCCTCGGGAGACTCAGAGAGCAGTAGGAGTGAAAAGACACACGTTATAAAAGAGGAAACCCTTGGTCACTGAGCAAGAGTGTCAGGGCCTGACCTTGCCCTCCAGCCCGGAAGCCGCCCTGAGGAAGTGACGCCCGTGCGGTGCCCGGAACACCGAGGGGATCCAAGTGGCCGAGGAAGAATATTCCGGGCAGGGGCACCAGCCCATGCAAAGGCAGGAAGGCTGCCACACCCCTTAGAAGCTGCTGGCTCCCCTTGGGACGCTCCGTCTCTGGCCTTGGTTCTTTCTTTGTGTGCCCGCTCCAGGCGGGGATGCTGGAAGGTTCTCTGGGAGCCTTTTAGGGGCTGGGCATGGCACGTGATTTAAATCCTGCATCAGGCTGGCTTGTTTCTCTCCATCTTCCCCACTGGGCTGCGAGCCCTATGGGAGCGGGCACAGCACAGTTGTGCACAGTAGGTGCTCAGGGAGTAAATGAGTCAGTGAGTCTCAGCTTCCTCATCTGCGTGGTGGCCACAGGGGAGGGATGAAATGCTCCTTACACCTCCGCGTTGTCTCCTCTTTCCACCTGCCTGCTGTAGGTCACACTTCTCTGGATGCCCGAGTCCTCAGAAACGACCCTCCCTGGGGGCTCGGGGGAGAAAGAGAAGAGCGGGTGGGTGGAACGGTTCTCCAGCATGGAGAAGACAGGAGTGGAAAGGCCGCAGGGCCGGGTGCGAGAGCATGCGCAGGGCAGAAGCCGAGGCCAGCACGCCACCCCCAGGAGGGCGGAGATGCAGACCTGGGTCCTGTTTATGGAGAGCTGTGGGGCCAGCGACCACTCCTCACTCACCCAGCAACCTCAGCTGGGCCCTTGACCGAGCACAGCCTCCCCTCTGAGAAGACCTGCCATGAGTTGAAGGCCTACTGGGTGCCAGTCTCCACCCTCAGTGGTTTACATGTTTAATCACTTCATCGAGTCCTGCCGTCAAGTTAGTTTTCTCTCCACTTTGCAGAAGAGAAAACTGAGCCTCGGAGAGGTAGAGTGACCTGCCCGAGGCCACACGACTGGTGAGTGGCAGGGCTGGGGTTTGAACTCAGGGTCCCTGACACTGTAATGCGCCTTCTTGGCCCTGCATAGCTGCCTCCTACGAAAGGCTGTGGGAGGGGCCTCAGTTCCCCATCTGGAAAATCGCACAGCAGGTCAGTGTCAAGACCTCAATGATGCCATCCCTCGGGGCCGTGGAGTACTGAGCTGGCATTTCCCATTTCACCCTCACGATGACTCCATTCGACAGAGGAGGAAACTGATTCTCAGAAGGGTAAGTGATTGTCCCAGGTCATGACCTCGGGCTCTCCTGAGGGCCTGGGACTTTTTCTGAGTCTGTTCATTGAATAGTAAGAATGGGGACACCCAAGGATGAAGGAACTTTAGGACGGGGTGGGGGAACAGGAGCAGGGACACACAGACAACGAGAGAGAGCAGGCCTGGAACCCAAAACACTGACTTCTGGCCTCTGCCCTTCATTGCATCCTGGGGGAAGGTGGGGCCTGGTCCCTTGGTCCAGGTTCTTTCTTGAGAGCAAGGAGGGGCCATGGGAAGTGTCCCCACATCTCCCAACTGAGGTCATGCCCGGGGTCCTGCCCAAACAAACAGGAAATACCAGGCAGTCCCCAACCCCCCCACCCCAAGGAGTGAGAAGGCTCCCCTAGGGTTCCAGTGAGTCCAGTGCTAGCCCAGCCTAGGTGGGGATCAGGGCCCTAGCAGGGCCTATAGGACCTGGGGCGAGGGCCCCTCCTGGGGCCTCAGTCTCCCTCTCGGTGGTCACAGGGTTTGGGTCTGCCACCTCCTGGCTGTGTGACCTCAGGCTGGTGGCGATCCGCCTCTGAAGGCCAGTGGGTGAGAGTATACACAGTGTACTCCATCGACCGAGCCATTAGCACCCCAAACCAGGGCACGATGTGGGAGGCCGGCCTGTGAAAAGGTCCCCAGGGCCCTCTGGGAAGGACATCCTGGCTTCCTTGAACTCAGGACCACTCCGAGTACCTCGCTACATCTCAGTTCCCTGTCTGTAAAAGACGCAGAGTCGTGACACAGGCTGGACTGCAGGGACTGAGTGACAGGAGAAAGGATCGGCCGGCCGGCGGCCGTGGGAGGAGATGGGGGGGGCGGGAATCCAGTGAATGAAGTGGGGGCCTGGAGAACGCAGCTCCTGGTTACTCACTTCTCTTTCCTAGTGAGAAAGGCCAACCAGAACGGGGTAGGATGAGCCCGGTGGACAGGACTGAACCCCATCTCTGGGGAGCTTGCAGAGCACTAACGGGGGGCAGGGTAGGAAGGAGAAACAGGCCCGGGCAGGGGCGAAGGTGGCTCTGTTCCCTCCTCCTGGTCCTTGCAGGCAGGAAGTCGGTGCTCCCAGGTGCCAGGCTTTCTATGCATAGTCCTCAGTGCTCCCCAGACCCCGGCTCCTGATTCCAGCCCAGAGCCTCTCAGCCAGCCGTGACTCCATGGCATCTTTGGTGCCCGGCAGCTCCGAGAGGCACAGCAACTTGCCGTAGGTCACACAGCAGAGTCGTCACCACTTCTCTAGGCCCTCTTTAGAGACTGCGGGATCCCAAATGTAGGTTCCATGCCAGTGAGGCAGGGGAGGGGCACATGAGCCCTAGACCCGGAAGAGACTTGAGAAAACTAAGCACCAGGGAGAGTCCTCTGGCTCTGAGGTACCGAATGCGCCATGGGCTCTGTACTGGGGCATGTCCTGGGGCAAAGGAACCTGGGAAATGAGTTCACGCTCCCTCATTCCACCTTATGATGGGCACTAAGCTGCTGTCAAGTGTAAGGTAAGGGCACCCAGAGCACAACTCAGTAAACTGGGGCTGGTCGCTGTCGCTGTTATTGTTAGAGACCTGTTCCTTAATCCCTCTGAGCTTCAGTTTCCTCGTCTGTAAAATGAGTGTGATGGTCCACTCCACAGGAAGTCCCACAGAGAGAGGGTTCTAAGAGTTATCCTATGTAAAGCACTTACTATGTGCCTGGATTTTTTTCTTCCACTTCTATTCCAATACCCAGCACAGTGCCTGGCACATAGTAGGAGCTTAATAAGTCTTAGCTACTATATTATTATTATTATTATTTTACCCTGCCTCTCCTACTCCCCAGCTGCCTGAGATCTCGGGCAATCCACCAACTTCCCACCTTGCTCACCTCCACTTTCCTCCTTCATAAAATCAGAATAGCGACAGTGCCTGCCTCTGGAGCTGAGTGAGGATCCATTCACGCATTCCACAAATACTTATTAAGCACCTACTGTTTTAGGAACTGGGGATACAGCTGGGAACAAAACAGAAGAGAGAAAAAAAAACACCTGCCCTCACGGAGCTGACGCTGTCAGAGGGGAGACAGACGACATAAACTGGTGTTTTCCATAGCATGTTGGAAGCTGACGGAGCAGGGAAAGCAGCCGAGCGCAGGCTTTACTAGTTTTATGTGGTGAGGCCAGATCTGAGAGTGATGGGGAGGATGTAGGTGTGGTGGGGAGGGCTGTGTTGGGCCTGTGGGCGGGCGGCGGGGTTGAGGGGGGCTTTCTGTGTGAGGTGGGAGCCTTGGAGGATTCTGAGCAAGAAGGACATGGTCTGACTTAAGTTCCCCTGCTGAGCATGGACTATAGTGGGGCGGGGTGGGAAGCGGGGAGCCCTGGAGAGTGGCAGCGCCATGGTCCGGAGGAGAGAGGATGCAGCTGGGGAGGAGGGTGGGCAGAGAGGTGGGGAGACATGGTAGGATCCTGGGTCTGTTTTCATCTTTAGATCTTCCTCAGGTGGACTTTTATCCCTGTTTGGCATCTGAGGAAACAGAGCCTCAGAGCTGAAGGGCCCCCAGGGAGCCAGGCAAGTGCTGCTTTACCAAGGCCTTGGGCTGTGACCAAGGCAAGCTTACCCTCGGCCTGGAAATCCTCGCGTCTGGGGCCTCTCCTAGCCCACACCTGCCCAGAAGGAACAGGTGAGGGGCCCAGGTATCCCCAACAATCCTTGCCTTTGGCCCCACAGACCTCTACCAATCCCGCTACCTGGGACATGGCATGATGCCTGAGGATCACTTCCGTTATTATTAGATAAGGATGCCTGAGGATCACTTCCGTTACTATTAGATAAGTAACAAGCTATAATTATACATTACGGAAATAAAATTCCCTGGATGTTGAAGGAGATACTATCATTGGCTCCATTTTAGACTTGAGGACAGAGTCTGGGAGTGGTCTCTGCCTAAGGTCACACAGTAGCAGTACTAGGATTCGAACCCCCAGACCTGAGGTTCCAAGGGCCAAGCTTTGGTCAACAACATAGAATGAAACAGGCTGTCCAGAGGTTCTGGTCAGCCACCCTTTCGAGACAAGTGGTGAAACTGAGGCCTGGACAGGCTCAGGGACCCGCCCCTAGCCACAGAGAGACCCCCAAAGCAAGTCCAAGAAGCCGAGAGGCCCTTTCCCACAATCTGGGGGCTCTGGGCCCTGCAGGAAGTGGCCAGCACTAGGACAGGCCTGCAGCTTTGATCAGCTTTATGAGCCATGGCTGTTTATGGAGGCCGGGCCCCGCCCCCTGCTACCAGGACTGTGTCTCGTCACCGGCACTTGGGATATTAGCAGTCCCAGGAGAGTCTGCCGGCCAGGGTCTTGGCCCCATTTCCTCCAGCCTGGCCCATGCCCTGCCTCTTGGCCTCCACCCCTGGGAACAGGGTGAGGAGGTCCCCTCAGACCAGATCCCCTTGTGGAGGAGCCTTCTTGAGCCTTCTTATTTGTTCATCCACAAATACAGAGCAAGCGGGTCCCACCTCCGGGCCTTCGCCCTGGCCCTGCTGGCCGCCTGATGCCCACACCCCCAGCTCTTGCCATGCTGCTGCTCCATGTCACCTCCTCAGAGGTCTCCCTGACCACCCTGGCTGAAGTAGTCCCCACCCCCGTCATCCTCTAGCACAGCCTTAATTTAATTCTTCCTTGCCCACATCACTATCTGGAATTTTCTGGCTCATTCTTTTTCCTGTGGATTTTCTGCCTTCTTCCCAGGACAGGGACCCCATCAGTCCCACTCATTCCTGCATCTCCAGAGCCTAGCCTAGTTTTGGCTCATGATAGGTGCCTGATGAATGTTTTTTGGGTGCAAGAATGATAAAATGTCTTGGGGAGTGAGCTATGAGCAGCCCGAGGCCCCAGAGCATTTCTCAGAGTCCCCCACTGCCCTGCCCCTCAAACGTGCCTGAAAAATTCACAGGCACAGACATTGCATGCAGAGGGGTGTTTCAGCCCCATTTTATGGATGAGGAAACTGAGGCTCAGAGAAGCAATGTGACTTGCACAGGGACCCCAGCCTGAAGGAGCAGAGTTGAGATTCAATCCCAGGTCCCACCGCACTAGACCCCACGGTTTCTGACCCCGTTTTCATCTCCCGCTTATGCCCCTCTCAACTTTCACCTCCTCACCCTCTCAGTCCTCTCTCCCCCCGCCCCCTTTCCCCAGGCCTGGCTCATGCCTGTGATGGCTCCTGACAAGAAGCATCTGGGGACAGGTGTCTGACCAGCCAGGCCAGTTCTGGAGCATGTACAGGGGGCTCTCTCCCCACCCCCGGGCAATGCGGAGAGATGACAGTGAACACCTGCTCCCACACCTGCCCCTGCCTCCTCACCCTCATTCAGGCCTTGCAAGTCCCCCAATACCCACAAGGCCACAATGAATGGTTTGTTCTCAGAGACCCCTGATGCCTCTCCCCACCCTCTCGGCTCTGTGACCTGGGGCAGGTGCACCCTGCTCTGGCCTGCGGAGGGAGCAGCAGGCAGGAGATTTCCATCCTTCTGTACAGACGCCACTCACAGCAGCCTCCTCACTCACCCCCAACCAGCTGCTGGGGAACCTCAGGGCCCAGGGGCAGGGGGCATGCAGGCACCTGCTGGGGAAGGCTGGCTCCAGTTTCCACAGAATTTGCTAGGCTTCCCAATAACCCTGGAGGCAGTCTGTGGTCATCTCTTATTCTAGCTGAGGCAGTAGAAGCCCAGAGACAGAGAGGGCAGGCACTTGCCCTAGGTCACACAGCACGCGGGACTGGAACCCAAGCCTGTGTGTTTTTCCTATTCCTCTAACTTGTCTCTCCTCGGGCCGTCCGTGCCACAAGAGCCTGGGCTGAACACTTACTACGCGTTGGGCATTCAACCCCGTCCCAATTCATTCAAAACACTCTGTCAGCACATAGGGATTTGCCACGCACTGCGCGGGGTCTGGGCAAGGAGCAGAACGAGACAGGCGCCCCAGTCCTCCGGGGGCTGACCTTCCAATGGGGAGACAGACAATAAATAAGCAAAGGCAGAAACCAGCGGGATTACTCAGCTGTGATAAGGGTGAAGAGATAGAGGGGACTTTAGAGAGCGAAGTCAGGCTGCGGGCGCTCTGAGGAGGGGACGTCTGAGCCCCGCAGGAGGAGGAGGAGCTGCCTTGTGAAGAGGAAGAGGGGCCTCGATCGGGGGCGGCATCCAGGAAAGCAAAGCCCCCACGGTGTGGGCGTGCGTGTGAGGCAGGGCGGGCACTCCCGTTTTGCAAAAATGTATCGAGTGTCTACTGGGTACCAGGCTCTGATCTAGGAGCTAGGGACACAGAACAACTGAGATGACACAGTCACTGCCCTTGTGGGCGTCTAGACTGAGCCCAAGTGCTCTGACTCCCAGGCCAGTAGCCACAGAGCTGCTTCCAGGCTCAGCCCCTCCTCCAGGAAGCCTTCCCTAATGATTCTGGCTTGCGAGGACCTGCCTCAGTCTAGGACTCCGTAGGTCGACTCTGACACCAGCCCCCCCGCCACCTACGTGTGCCCAGAGCCACTCCTCTGGAGCTGGCACCCGTCTCAGGATGGCGGGGAGGGCTTAGGCACTGGCAGGATGTTTTATCCATTAAGGTCCTGGCAGACGCCGGGAGACGGGTGTGGTGGAGGTGGGAATGATGACTTGTGCAGGCGGGATGGTGCCTCCCCTGCTGTCCAGGCCTGGCTGTCCCCAGGGCTGTCCCAGCTCTCTACCCTGGGTGTCCCTCGCCAGGCTTGGCCGCGAGGAAACTGGACACAGGGAGTCCCAGGAGTTGTCTAGGCACACAGCACCCTCCCAGCCTCCGGCCTCAGCCCACAGGCAAAGACCGCACACTGGGGCCCTCGGACTAAACCAGATCCACACAGAGACAGTCACTTGGCCTCTACAGGGTTAGAAACAACTAGAATCGCCCGTCGATTTCCATCAAAATCCAGGCTTCCCGCTTTCCCGCGGCCCTGGGCCCACTTTCCTGCACGACAGTGAATCCCGCCCTCCACAATCTCCACCAGGCCCCATTGCCCCTCTGCTCATTTAATACCTGCCCGGCATCTGTGGGCACTGGAGTCATCTGACCTTTATTTAAACCAAGGAAAGAAGAACAAATAGTGGACTTTCAGGCAGAGGTGAGGGGAGGAAGGATTTGGGCTCCCAAAAGCAGCCCCTGGAGGCACTGGAATGTGCAATCCCAGCCTGGAAGGGGACATCCCTCTGACCTTTCCAGGCTCAGCCCACCCCAGGGCTGTCTTTCAACCAGGGCCCTCCATGTTAGAGCGTGCATAGCCCTGCGCCTCTCCCAGGAGGATGAGTGGGCCTGGCACATACGTCTTGCAGACGTACGTATGTGTGTTTGTGGGCACAGAGGACTCTTGGGGGATGCGAATCTTGGATCTGCCATTCGATGGCTGCATAGCCCTGAGCAAGGGCCTCGCCCTCTCTGGGCCCAGTTTGCTCACCTGTAAAATGAGCCCAGGGCTGGCTCCAAACAGGAGGACGAGTGACTTTAACTATGGAAAGCCAAGTGCTTGGTATCTGTTAACACCTTTGGTCCTCACCCAAGGATGAGGACACCATGGCACAGAGAGGTAAAGCACTTGGCCCAGGGCAGCGATTTATCAATTAAAAAATTTTTCACACCTAACAACAGGAGAAACTGGGCAACCTCTCTACTCCCTATGACCAGCCCCAGTGGGATGTGCTGGAAGGGCAGGACCAGAACCAGCCACCCAGGAACAAAGCCCGGCTCTGCCCATTCTGCCCTTAAATTCCCTGTGCCTCCATTTCCCCATCTGTGCAATGGGGACAGTGACAGTTGTGAGGACAAATGAGACAATTCCAGGCAAGGCTCAAAAAACGGATGAGCCCTCGGAACTTCTTACTGTGTTTGAGGGGGTGTCATCTCCCTCCCCAGAGGCAGCCAGCATTCCCAGCTCCTTCTCCCAGGCTTCCTGGGGTCCCCCATTGGGCTTCGGCACTTCTCTTGGGCAAGGACCATGTCTGTCTCGCTCCTCACTGTTCCAACTCAGTAAATGCTGGTGGGATGAATAAACACATGGATGAAAGAATGAAGGAATGAATGAAGCAGTCCCACTGCCCATCGCAGCTGGCCTAGCTCAGGAAGACAGCGGGAGGACATCCGGCAAGATCAGGCCCCACACAGCGAAGGCGAGGCCCAGAATGCCCGGACCCCGCTCAGGTGGTGGGATTTGCTGCTAAATCTGGCAGGAAGGGCAAAACTATTCTCAGAAATCCTTAAATTGCTCGAAATGCATAGAGGACTTGTCCTGCCACCGGATGTCTTCGACTGCCCCCGTTGGTTACCTGCTTCAACCACACCGGCCTCCTGGCCGTGTTTCGAACCCCCCAGGCTCATTCCAGCCTCGGGTCCTTTGCACTTGCTGTTACCTCTGCCTGGAATGCTCTTCCTGACCTGCAAATAGTTCCGTGTCTCCCTCCCTTACTTCCTTCAGGTCTCAGCTCAAATGTCACTTTCCCAGGGAGGCCAGTCCTGACCTCAATCCATCCCGCTGCTGGAAGTAGCCCATCCCCCCCCTGGTGCAGCTCTATCCACGGTTTTTTGCTGCCGCTGTTCTCACAGCTCTCACCCCTACCTGGCGTTGGGCTTCTGTTTCTTGCTAGTCTCCCAGCGCCCTCCTAGGGCGGAGATCTTGCTTTACTCCGCGTCGTAACTCCAGCACCTAAAACACTTCCTGGCACATAGTAGGTGCTTAAAAAAATATCTGTCACGTGAATAAATAAACACAATAGCATAGAGAGGGACGGAAGGCCCTAGAACAGACTGGAACACGTAACGGAACAGAAATCATACAGCGGAATGGCGCGATACACTATGATGACCCACACGACCCCGCAGAGCCAGCCTGGTACTCGAGGCCTCGACAGAACTGGATGAAACAGCCAAGAACTCCCTCCTAAAACTATAATCCAGACCCGGCAGGCACCGCCGGGGGCAAGTGGCTGAGAGCTGCCTTTGGACTGGGGGTCTTCCCACGTCGCCTCCGAGCAGCTCTCCTGGTCTGAGGGTTTTTCCACCCACTCGGTCCCTGTTCCTGTCCAGCCGGACAGGTCAGGGGTGGTTTCTGGTCTGGACGCTGG